CAGGCACAGTAATTTCTTACTAGCTGTCAGCATTGTTCCCCCATTTGCACAGTCTCTAAACAACAACTGAGAATAAATATGAAAATTACAGATGTTTTGCTAACATAATCTTTTCTCTTAATTTCAGTCCTTCAGAAGCAAGGAAGCAGAATCTGTATTATTAATCATTACACCAGTATTACCTGCCTTCCTATCTAAGTGTTCATTCCACACTCAGCCCTCTGATTTTTTTAGGGTATTACCAAGCACCAGTGAAACCTAATCCTTAAAAGCAAAAAACAAGTTTTCCACACAGGCCCTACAATGTATTACATTTTCTAAAGAATCTAGGCTACCATTTGGAGAGAAAGCTTTATTATCCTTGGAATTTTGAGATTTTGTTTTTTCAAGGGTTCATAGATAGTTTTTCTACTGTCCTTTCATGCCAACGCAGCTACAAATTTTCCCTCTACTTCCTCATTTCAAACCATTATTCTTCTGCCTAATTCTTGCAGCTTGGAATATCTTCTTTACTTTTCTTTCTTTTCTGAGGAGCTCCACGGGATTAAGCAATAGGATTCACCAAAGAAGACTCGGGCCCACCCTGCTCTTGTACTAGAGATAGGAATTTGATTTATCCTCACAGTTGTATTTTAAAAAAAAAAAAAAAAAAAAAAAAAAAACAAACAAACGAAACTTCTTGCTTTAGAAAACAGGTGAGTAAGAATAATACTGTGGGGCCTTCTTTATATCTCAAAGATTGGTACAAAAAAGGACACAAGCCCTGTTTTGTTCCTCGTGTTGCAGTTTGCCTTTAATTTGTAGCATTTGATCTCAAAGCTGATGCACACTAGAGCCACAAGAACAGCGGCTGAATGGTTGCAAGGGCTGAGATTCACATTTGGGAACGCAAATCTCTCTCACAGGAGCTTGCCATACACACTCCCCACAGCTGAAAAAGTATTTTTATATTTTGCTTGCTGGCTTGTTCCGTAGCTGACAGATTAGGGACAGCTCAGAGTAGCAAAGTGACAGAGATATAGATGACTGGACTCCTGTGGGTCTCACAGGGATATGCCTCCCTTTAAAGAACTGTAAATGCTTCTAATCATTGCCCAACTGCATTAAGTCCACTTTAGATAAAGGTTTGATACGGATTTGAAAAATGAAATTATTTGGGGGCCATAGGGAACAAAGCAAGCAATCTTCAAACATCAGAAAACCTGTGGGATTCGCTTTGCAGTAACATGATAGATGGCTTGACTAGACATGCCATTTCCTATTTTCTACTTTCATTTTTCAGACCAGATTGCACTAAACCACAAAACCATCGTGTGTCCTATGATCGATGTCATTGACCACAATCACTTTGGCTACGAGGCACAGGCGGGGGATGCCATGCGAGGAGCTTTTGACTGGGAAATGTACTACAAAAGAATACCGATTCCTCCAGAGCTCCAGCGAGCTGATCCCAGCGACCCCTTTGAGTAAGTAGTGATAAAGGGGAGAGTGTGAACATGAATCAGAACAAGCAAAGAAGGTAACTGTAGCAGAAGAATCCAAGCCCAGAAATTTCCATGTAGGCCACTTCATAGTAATGAAAAGCAGTAGAAGCAAAGAGCTTCTACATAGGCTTATAAAACCTCAAAACTAGGAAAAAGGTCAGGGCAACAAGTTGCAGAATTCACAAGCTGTGCCTGGAAACACAAATCTTCCCAATCTTTCCTGTCCCAGTGGTTATGCATAAAAGAAACAGGCACATACTTGTAGTTAAGAGAAAGTATTGGCATTGGGCAAGGAATGAATGTGACTGCAGTTACTCTGTTTATTCCACAGAGCACTTCCTGAACAGATTTTAGTTTAATGTTTTCTTTGCTGGAGGTTGATGCAATACATGCATCAATAGCTAAGTCCACATTCTGCCAGCAGATGCTTTGTTTATGACTGGTGATATTGCTACTGTGTATGTATTGCTGTAACTACAGCCCCCTGTAAAACACAGGGCTGTCAAACCTGAACAGCATCAAGCTGATTTGTAAATAATTTTTGATAAGCCAGCCTCCGATCCCAGTATTGTATAGATCAGCTCATTCACAGGAATGTCCTTCTACTCTTCACAAAGGTACATCCTTTTTTCTTTTCTTTTCTTTTAATTAGTCTCATGTAAGGATCAGCTGGGATTAATCTGCATCAGCAGAGAGAGGACAGACAGACAGGCAGACATGATTCAATCTGGCAAAGTCTCCAGGTCTCTCACACAGCACGCATCTGTTGTGGTTTAACCCCAGCCAGCAACTAAGCACCACACAGCTGCTCACTCACTCCCCCCGAGTGGGATGGGGGAGAGAATCAGAAGAGTAAAAGTGACAAAACTCATGGGTTGAGATAAAGACAGTTTAATAGGTAAAGCAAAACAAGGAATTCATTCACGCCTTCCCATGGGCAGGCAGGCGTTCAGCCATCTCCAGGAAAGCAGGGCTCCATCATGCGTAGCGATTACTTGGGAAGACAAACGCCATCACTCCAATTGTCTGCCCCTTCCTTCTTCTTCCCCCAGCTTTATATGCTGAGCATGTTGTCATATGGCATGGAATATCCCTTTGGTCAGCTGGGGTCAGCTGTCCCGGCTGTGTCCCCTCCCAACTTCTTGTGCACCCCCAGCCTACTCGCTGGTGGGGTGGGGTGAGAAGCAGAAAAGGCCTTGACTGTGTGTAAGCACTGCTCAGCAGTAACTAAAACATCCCTGTGTTATCAACACTGTTTCCAGCACAAATCCAAAACATAGCCCCATACGAGCTACTGTGAAGAAAATTAACTCTATCCCAGCTAAAACCAGCACAGCGTCCCAGCAGGGCTGGCAGCAGGACTGGCTCTGATACTGTCAGTAGCCCTGACTGAAACTCCACACTGCAGGTTTTGGCAGTTTAAAAACTCGGCATTTTCCCCTTCCCGAAACAAAACTTGGAAACAATAGCAACAGAAAACCTGTGTCTCTGTCCCAGACTCTGCACTATTTTGAAGTAATGGATCTGATTCATGCAGAAATTGACCCTTATATCCAGGGAATGACCAGCTTTGTACAGGGAGAAGTAGGTAATTGCGGCATTCAGGGGGCTTATTTTCATTATTCTACTTGTTCCTTTTTACTTATCTCCATCTAGGCCCATCAGACTTCGTCTTGCATTGGTGTAAGTGCTGATGAAGTACTTTCCATCAGCTGCCAATGTGACCACTCCACAACATAGATGCAGCTAGTGCAATCACATAACACTCTGGAGTTGCTAGAGCCTCCATTCTCTTCCACAAGTCTTCCTGGTCCTCTGAGCAGTTGTAATTTCTTGTTGCTTACTGAAAGTCACATAGCACATCGTATAATTTGGTTCAGCATTCAAAGTTTGTGTATAAGTAAAACTTACATCTTGCCAGTGTAGCTACAGGGTTGCTTATCAGCCATTTCACACATTTGCAGTTTGTAGTATGCATCTCTCAAAGTCAGGAGAGGCCTGAAGAGGAGGTACTCACGGCAGACTTTGTAGAACAGAGGCTTTGTGCAGTACAGAACAGATGTGGTGGTTTTGCATGAACTGTTGTTACAATCAGCATGGCAGCAGTTGATACCCACCTTGCCCTGCCTGCATTTGTAAGACACACAGATAAATGGCTTTGCGAGGAACAACATATAGGACAATCAACCTATAAATCTCTTGTAATCTGAGTAGTCGTCTCCCCAGAAAGGTGGAAAGGCTTCCCAGTTCTTACACAAATCAGTGAGAGTCTTCCTTTGTTTTCCCCATCACAGGATCCACATCAGAGCAATGCAGGTGGAAAAGCAGCATTGCACATGGAACCACCGTGTCTGTCCCCACACATGGCAGCAGGATTGAAGGCTGGCTGAGCTAGGACAATATCTTTGCTCAAAAGTACCCTCTGCCTAGAATGGCAAGGGTATAGAAGTGTTTTAAATAATCAGTATGAATTTTGCTTGGGGGAGGAATTATGTTCTAATTCAAAGTTAGTATGGCTTTTCTCCTAGGGCCTTCTCTGTTGACACCTCAAGCTTTTAATACCTTGCTTACAACAAGTATGGTAAACATTACAAAGCATTTTACATATCAGTAACTTAATTGACCAAGACAACTTCTACAGAATTAAAGAGGCAGAAGAGTTTTCCTTTAGGTGCATGTACACTAAAACTAGAAATAGCTTCAGCCAGCACCATAATTATTGTGTTACTATTTTGTAAGCAGTAGGGATTTTGGTTTTTTTATTTAGGTTAAATATTTTGCTATTGGTATCCTAATAGCTTTATTTCTTGCCAGCAGCATCAGATCTGAGCTGATCCTTAATGAACTGGAAAATTGCCAACATTTTTAGTAAGGCACCAGCAAATAATGGGTACATGATCCAAAAATTGCACTGCTGAGTTTTTTCCCTCACTTAAAATGCCAACTCAGTATGTGTGTTAAGCAGAAAAGGTCACATCAACCTAAGAAATAATGTACGTAAAACCAGATCAAACTACAGAAGACCTAAGAGCAGTCATTATAGTATCTGAATGATGCGTTTGCTTTCTATCTGCACGTGATCAAAACACTGCTGCGGCAGACATCAGCAGAGTGTTTGCTGTAGACACCACAAACTGAAGTTTTGTCAGGTAGGCTTTTGGTGTGACAGTAACACAGAGCTTACTGAGCTCCAATGCCAGCTGAGCTACTGTTTCTGGAATCAATTTTTCCCCACTTTTTATTTTTTTTCAACTGTACTCCACTATGGTCAGTGTTTGACAGGCACTTTCCTGTTGGACGACATCTATCTGGATGCAGTCTTTCAGTTCAAAACCCTCTTGTGAAGAATCTAGGCATTGTCATCCATTTGTGGTGTGAGCATGGGCATGTTTTATTGTTCATACACCTGCAGTGCCACTCAGGCAGCATCATCACCCTTCGCTGTGACAGAACTTGGAGCTTCGTTCCAGATCTCAGCTTTTCCTGATGTACACCCACACCCATTCTCAGGCCCTCTGCAGTTGTTCACAACAAGTAGCTTTACACCAAGATTTGGCTTGATGTTTATGACTTTAGGACTGTATAACACTCTCAGAAGCTTCCAGCCTGCCCAGTGTCAAATTCAGGTACAGATGGTGTACTAGCACCAACCTGGGAGTCACATGACAAATTTATAACTGCATTTGGATCAGGCTGCATTCATCTACAAAATCTATCATTTTGGTTCACACGTAGTTTGGCCACACCAAGTTTCCCATAGGTTTCACTGAAGCAGACTATAGCCATATAAAATGTATTTTCAATCAGATCTCTTATGTGAATTATTGGATATTGCTCTATGCTTATTGTGGTGTTTAGGAAGGTTTAACAACTATTCTATAAATGGATCTCATGTAGCCTTTAAGATTAGCTATTTTTCTGAGAGATCTGTGTTGCTGCTTTGCAGGTTACATTGAATCCTTAGAGGCATGGAAAATGGACTTCACCCCTAAATAATGTTGTCTTCCAATCCAGAGACTAAATCTGTGAACTCCTTGTTGATTTCCCTTTTTTATGTGCCACGGAAACAATAGAAGTTTTGTATTGCATTCAGCTGATCTGTCACACTTGCAGCTCATCACAGTTGGCTGTAGTGGTTTTTCTCTTGCGAGTCGTGTACAACTGCCCCAGTATATTCTGAAGGGGGCTTCATGCTATTTTCCTCTGATGTATTCAGGGTTGTGTAATCGACACAGAGCAAATTGATGTTCTGATGTATTGTGGGAAATTGTCAGACAATCGTGAAATCATCATCATGTCATGATGATGCTCACTGTCTTGATCCCAGGATCAATGATCATTCAGCGGAATTTGAGATACTTGGGAAATCTTCTCGTCTATAAGCAGGGAGGACCAGAGATGTTTACCTCCTTTGTGGCAAGGATCACCTTGGCTTATTATCATCTCTCGCTGGTTTGTTTCTCTGTCGTGGCAGAGGTTTGGGACTATGCCCTTATGGGATATATGGGTTTGGGGCATAAGAGCATGCTCTTGTTTGGCTGTTTCTTTCTGTGGTGCAAGCACTCTAGTCTCTGGAGGAGTTTGCCTAACCCAAGCGATTGCCACTTAAACTAATAGGATAACCTTGTTACTATAATGGACTGTGATATACAGCATGTCAGTTTATATGATTTAATAGCCTGTCTGGGCTAAAAGCTCTGTGGAAGTTTAAAGCAGAGGTTTGATATACTCAAGCCTGCTGGGGATGACTGCTCTTTATTTCCTGGCAGCGCTTACATTACATCAATTCATGTTATCGCATGCCCGATCTGAAAACTGGCATCAGTGTCCATTCATGCCAGCAGCAACATATTTTTAACCAGACAAGAAAACATCAACAATTCAACTCAAAAAACTATTTGGAAAAACCACAAACTAATCAAGAGGATTAATACAGCACAGATCAATTAGGGTAAGAAAGGGCTGCACAGCTCCTCGGGGCA